GCCAGTGAGATCGTGCATTTTTCGCACAACCAGTTACGAAATTGTCACGCGTCCGAATGTTTAGTTTGCAAGAGTTGGAAACTGACTTCATGCAATTACCTGCAAGAAGACGTGGAAAATGGTCAGGAAATTTCAGCAATCTAGCTACTTTGGTTATGAAGTTACAAATTCTCAGTGTTAAATCAGATGTGCCCGTAAATGAGGTGTAGGGGACGTGTAAATTTATTTTACGTCATAATCCCGTACATGGAGAGCAAAGATTTAATTAAATTTATAGCTTTCTAGTCAGCTGTGCTTCAGTTGGCATTGTAACAGTTTATACTTTGTCATATTCATACGTGAGAGTAGGCATGCATAAAGGCTGAATTTGGTTCCTTGGGTCACATACAGGAGGAACCATCATTGTAAAGTTTGAAGTCTAGCTTGTCTGATTTCCGAATTCGTCTTTCCAGTTAAAATAATTGGCCAACGCACGGTCTGCTTGAGCGAAGATGCGTTTCTTGCACAGTTCCCCGCAGTTTTTGTCGCTACCGGCGCGGTTTTTTTTGAAAAATCCTTCTAGCTAAACAAATTACCCGGAGTCTGGCACTGAGCTCAAGGAGACTAATGTGGACGGGGAATATCCTCTTAAAATTACAGTCCTTTAGCTTTTCAAATTTCCGAGTTATCAACCTACTCGAAAAAACTTTTACGGGCCCGTACGTGGGTACCACGTTTACCCGGGGGGTGGTTTGAGCACATTAATACCCACTTGGTCGGGGACTGTAAGATTTCAGCTTTCTAGCTTCTCAGATCCCCAAGTTATGAACTTACCCAAAAAAAATTTCACGCACCCGCACTTGGGTACTACGCTTACCCGTGGGCTGGATTTGAGCTCATTAATACCCACTTGGACGGGGAACATCCCCTTAAGATTTGAGTTAGCAGCTTACTGGAAAAAAACTTTCACGGGCCCGTATGTGGGCAGCACGCCTATCCGATGCCTGGGTTTGAGCTCGTTGACTTACGTGTACGGGAACATCCTCTTAAAACTACAGCCTTCTAGCCCTTCAGGTTCTCGAGTTAGCAACTTACCCGAGAAAAACTTTGGTGGGCCCTTGCGTGGGTACCACGCCCGAGGGCTGGGTTTGAGCTGAATGAGACTTAGGCGAACGGGGAATATCCTCTTAAAATTACAATCTTTTAGCTTTTCAGATACTCGAGGTATCAACTTACCCGAAAAAAACTTTGGCTGGTCCGTAAGCAGATACCACGCGTACCCGGGGA